CAGATGCTGCCTGTACCAGGAAGAGATGTCCCGTCCTCCAGGGAAACCACACAGACATTACAAACAAGCATGCTCTTATCAAGCAGGAGAGGTCTGGGTCGAGGGGCTGGGGGGAAGGAGTCTCTTTAAAACCAGCAGGCTACTGTGGGCAAGAAAGCCTAGGAAATGTGGAAGAAAGGGCTTAAGAGATATGTGAGCAGGAGGAGTCCTTTGTGGAAACTTTGATCCTGGGATAGAATAAGGATAAATGCACGAAGACGGCAGAGGCCCTCCAACTTGGCGTACGCATGACAGGGAGGGACAGAGGGAGGGTGCTTCCCCTGAGTGCACTGCAGGAGCAGGGACTCGCCCTGTGCAGCTCTGGGGAAGCAGAAGCCCTCGCAGTCCCCACTTTGTGATGAGAACAGAGAAGCAGAGAGAGAAGGTGGCCATGACCAAGGTCACCCGGGGCAGGGACTGGTGGGAGAAAGGCGGGGACCTGCCTGTGTCTGATCAGGTTTCCCGGCCTCTCACGGGATACGCAGCCCCAGGCTTGGTGGCAGGTAGTGAGGACAGCTTGCTATACAGTAGCTAACACAGAGCAGCCACACAAGAAGTGGTTTTCATAGTCATAACAACAAGAAGAATGATAAATAGGGTTTAAGAAAAGAGATTTCCTAAAGAAAAAAAGGGTATCCGGCCGGGCGCAGTGGCTCACGCCTGTAATCCCAGCACTTTGGGAAGCCGAGGCGGGCGGATCACGAGGTCAGGAGATTGAGACCATTCTGGCCAACATGGTGAAACCCCGTCTCTACTAAAATACAAAAAAATTAGTCAGGCGTGTTGGTGCGGACCTGTAGTCCCAGCTACTCGGGAGGTTGAGGCAGGGGGAACTCCTGAACCCAGGAGGCAGAGATCACAGTGATCCGAGATTGTGCCACTGTATTCCAGCCTGGTGACAAAGTGAGACTTTGCCTCAAAAAAAAAAAAAAAGAAAAAAGGAAAAAGAAGAAAAGAAAAAAGGGTACCTAACCCATTAGCTCATCCGGTCTGGCCCAGCACCAGAATGTGAACCCCCCCCCCGGAAGCAGGACGGCTGACCACCCTGGGCCACCTCCCCCATAACAGGTTGCCCTGTCCATAGCAGGGACAGGACCTCGTGCCCGGCCAGTGCCTTGGGACACAATCCTAGGTGTCTTCATGGTAATTTCTCTGGCCCTGGGCTCCTTATGATAAACCTGCCCGGTCTCAGAGTGGGAGAAGGAGCTGGTCAGCAGGGCTGGGGGCTACTCAGAGGCCACCCATAGCCCTCCAGCACTCTAGGAGGAGTGCCTGGGGGTGCCCACTCACACACGGGGGCTGAAGGGAGGGACAAGAACAAGGAGACTACTAAGTTTAACCCTCTGTTTCGACAGAAATTAAGTAGGGAAGGACATGGGGGAGGGGCAGGAGGGAGAGATGGGGGAAGAGAGGATGGAGAAGAGAGGATTGGGAAGGAGAGGGGAAGGGACAGGCGCTCAGAGGCCACCCCTGTCTGAACCCTGCAGATTCTCGGTGATGAGTGGTCACCTTTGCACTTTCTTCCCATGCTGCTCCCTTTGTTCAAGCCCTCGTGGTCCCTCAACACTTTTTTCCTGGGTGCTCCATTCGCTCAGGCCCTCCTGGTTCCTGACTTAGAGCTGCTCATGCAGTGGTTCCTCAACCCACCAGCGTCCCCAGGGGCGCTTGTGTCTTTGCAACCCACTTGTCACACTGTGGCCAGCGTGGCTTTCTAAGACATCAATCTGGCCACGCTCATAGTCTGCCTTCTGGGTCCCATGCCGAGGACAGCATGCCACATGCTGCGCCCTGGGCCTGGGCCCTGTCCGGGAATGGGCTGAGATCTCCACCCACTCCTGCCGGCCGCGACCTGAGACCTGAGGGAAGCTCCCATCAGCTCCATAACACTGCACTGCAAGTACCCACCTCTGTTTCTTCCCATCCCCTTCGATGGGGGCATCTCCAGGGCTCACCTCCTACGAACAAGCAAATCTGTATCATATCTGTCATTAACAGGTGAAGAGTGGGGCGAGAGCTCCCGGCAGCCCCGGGCTGCCCATCATGTCATTGTAGATGCTGCGTAGACAGGTGTGCATCTACCCAGTGCAAGATCCCCAATTTCCTTTAAAACACATCTACTCAGACCCATGCGCTACAGGTGGGCAATTGCTACAACTATGGATGGGTGTCAAATTAAGCCTCGATGTTCGCACAAAGTCGAAATGTTTAGAAAATATTATTAAAATGTATAATGAAATTATTAGCCAATTCAATCTTTGGTCTTTCCATCTGCTTGAATTCAGGTTTACAATAGCAAAATTCTGCTATTCCTCTGATGCCAGATGTCATTAACAGATGAGAGTGGGGGGGGAGGGAGAGGAGAGGGAGAGAAAGAGAGGGAGGGAGGGAGGGAGGAAGAGGGAGAGAGAGAGAGAGAGAGAGAATGTCCTTAATGTCAACTCTCTTTCATTAAATGTGCCTACAGGGACAATCAAGCTCTCAGAAACTTCCCATCAGAAAATGCATGGGGCAGGTGTGCCCAGCACATGGTAGGCAATCAATAAATATGTGTCACATGAATTACTAAGCAAATATACAGAAAATAGAGAAGTCAAACGCAAAGACATTTTGTACTTTTTTGATACTGGTTTTCAAAGAACACAAGAGTTCTGTGGGCCACTATCATCCCATTTGAAGGCAGCATGTGCTGGGCGGGGACTGCAGGCTGCGGACAAGCTACGGGGTGCAGGAGCTGGCCACGCCACTTTCTCTTTGTAAAGTGGAGTCGCAGTTTTCATCTGCAAGACAGGAGGACGGGATGATGAAACCACCCCAGGAGTCAGGTTGCTGACGACGGCGACACGGCCCAGGGCAGCACCAGCCCAGGGTGGTGTCTGGGAGGCAGCAGCTCTGACACTAGCAGGATGCCCCTATGTGCCCAGCACAATGAGACCCTGGGAGGGGAGGGGAGGGCTCAAACTCTGTGAAGTGTGGGGACACAGAGGTCAAAATCCCAACCATCCTAGGGCTCTGGCTTTTATCTGAGCGCAGAGAGAGATCATTCAGGAGAATGAATAATCTCCTGCCAGGCACACGATGTACCCGCCCCTTCCTCCACTGGTGCTGCTGGCGCTGAGCTGGGGCTGCATCAGACCCATCCAGGACCGCTTTGCCCTGCACGGGGCTCCTGGCCGAAGCTGAATCTCAGACCCCGAGTGAGAGATGCCTCCTGCCTCACACAGAGCCCCTCCAACCCTCAGCCTATCAGAAAGACCCAACAGAAAGACAGAAAGATGACCAGAAACATGGGCCCATCAGAAAGACCCAAGACCCAGCATAGACGCCAGGAGGTAAGCGCCAGGGGTCCCTCCTTTCCCCAGCCTGACAGTGTGGCAGTTGCCTGCGGAGCCTTCTCGTTTGAAGTCTGAGACTTGAGGGGTGAGCACTTTGCTGGCAAACTTACCTGGGTTGGTCCCTGGCCCTACCCCTCATGGCTGAGACTCAATTTCCTCTGTGGGAGCCACAGTGCTGGTCAGGGAGATGTGCAGGAGATAAATGGGGTGATGGGTGGGAACTAGTCTGACTTGCTTCCTTGCTATGGCATTTTGCTTATTAAGAACTGGCTGAACCCTGACTTTGTGCTGAGCTCTGAGGGGAATGCAAGGGAAAGACAACTCCCATTATCCCCACCTTTTTACTTCTCTCTGTACCAGAGACAAACGCCTGTAACTCCACAACAGACTGCTCCTGTTCACTCCATGAGTCCCCAAGCACTCTATTTTTCGTGTCTGGTTCACAAAACCTTCCATCTACATGTAGAGTCCTTATTTTCTCACAAACTCTTTGGAGACAGTGGGTCTGCCAGGCCCAAAATCCCTTTAGCTTGAACAAAGGAATTGACCTCAGGTTCTGGAACCTATGCTGTGTAGAGTGAGGACCCTTTCGGAATCCAGGAGGCCATCTGGAAGGATCCCAGACCACACAATGGAGCAATGCGTGTATCCCCATGTCTGCAGAATGTGTGCGTGACTGAGGTCATGAACAGACATTCCCATCAGAGCTGCCCCCTCCCTGGAGATGGGCTCTCATGCCTCAGTATTTTGGGGCTATTTCCTACCTTTGTCCCTGTAACAAACTTCTATCCACTTCCAGCAGCCACTCAACAGCTTCACCCCCTCTATGAAGCCTTCCTTGAATGCCCCCACCCAGTGGCTTCTGAACCTACAGCACTCGGCGGGGGGCTCTGTCCTTGCTCCCCAGCAGTGTTTAATTCCCAGAGGACACAGCCACTTCCTACTAGACAAACAACTGCAGGGAGACCTTGTCTTTGCATCTCAGCCTTTTAAATGCCTTGCAGAACGCCTGACTCCAAAGCAGGTGCTCTCCAAAGATGGCTGAACAAACACATGAGGGAACCTGGGCTTCTCCAGAGCGCTGGGTCAGTCAGCGGAGTGTCTGCGAGGAGTCAGGCATTGATCTGAAGTCCAGACCAGGCTCCGTGACTTTGTGAAACACTGTGTTTATAGCACAAAATCCTTCTGAAAACTCTCTTCGCCTTTTCAAAATGGCATCTTCATGCCTCGGTAAGCTGTACAATCCGATTTCAGTTTCTCAGACAATTGAGCTCGTGTTTTCAGCTGTCAGTCTGTGAACCCCCCGAGCCCGGCACTGATAGGTGGCCATTAGAACCTGTCACTAACATGAATATCAACACTGGCAAGAAGCATGTGATCCAAAGACTAGAGCACCACCGGCTCCGAGAAGACCTTTCCTCGTCCCCAATCAATACTGCTCTGAGTCGGCCTTTGAAGCGTTAAGAGGTTAAGGAAATGCCAAGCCTTTGGTCCACATCTCCTTGCCACAGCATTTCTGAGCTATCTGTGGTGAAAATTCAATAGCTGAGACCCTCACGGGTCTTTCTTAGAGGTCAGAACCCTGAGCAAAGGTGCCCCCAGGCCCAGGTGGCCCCCGGAAAAGGATATGATTCTCCAGCAGATGCCCAGCTTAGTGTGGATCTCCAGGCCTCGGGCTTCCCGCCGCTCTTCCTCCAGCTGCTTGGGGTTTGCAAATTGCCCCTTCTCCCCAGGGGACTCCGGGAAACTCTCAAAGTTGAACTTGTCCACTTGAATAGCCATTCTACGAGAAAGCGGAAAACACAGCAGAGAATTCATCAGCAGGGCAATTTCTGTCGGTTGTTGGAGAATCAGCACATGCCAGCGTGAGACACTATAATGAATCATTATCGTTAGTAATTCATAATGGATTCATTCCAAGAAAAAGAAATAATAGACTCCCAAGGTGGCCCTGACTTCAGAGCTGGTTCAACACACAATTTGGAGCTGAAGACACAGTCATTGCTTCAAACCTCTGGGAAGACCTGTGTTACCCCAGACAAAAATTTCAGTTCCATAACACAGCAAGGCAGGGAAGAACCAATGTGCCATAGACAGTGAGCTGGATGGCGACTTACAGTCCTGTGCAGACAGTCATGGAGAACGCTGACAATTATTTAACCCTGGGGACCCATCGGGCCCCTGGGAACTTCCTGTTTATCCTCTGAGTGCTGCCTGCCTCCTCCCCCAACCCTTTCCTTCTCAGGCAGGTGGGCGTGCCCCTCCCACAGCCCCCCTCAGCTCTCATTTGGAATGGCTGTATTTACCCAATGTCTGTACCCTCATTGTATCTAGGAAATAATTAGCTTGCTTTTGATTTTACAGGTTCACAGGCGGAAGGGACTTGCCTTGTCTCAGATGAGACTTTAGACTGTGGACTTTTGAGTTAATGCTGAAATTAGTTAAGACTTTGGGGGACTGTTGGGAAGGCATGATTGGTTTTGAAATGTGAAGATATGAGATTTGGGAGGGCCAGGGGCAGAATGATATAGCTTGGCTGTGTCCCCACCCAAATCTCATCTTGAATTGTACTCCCATAATTCCCACGTGTTGTGGGAGGGACCTGGTGGGAGATAATTGAACCATGGGGCCAGTTTCCCCCATACTGTTCTCATGGTAGTGCATAAATCTCACAAGATCTGATGGTTTTATAAGGGGGAGTTTCCCGCTGCCATCCATGTACAACGTGACTTGCTCCTCCTTGCCTTCCACCATGATTGTGAGGCTTCCCCAGCAATGTGGAACTGTAAATCCAATTAAACCTCTTTCTTTTCTAAATTGCCCAGTCTCGGGTACGTCTTCATCAGCAGTGTGAAAACAAACTAATACAATGACTAAGGGTTCATCACTCAATGGATAAGAGTAGGCGTTTTGGCCCAGGCACAGTGGCTCATGCCTGTAATCCCAGCACTTTGGGAGGCCGAGGCAGGCAGAATCACTTGAGGTCAGGAGTTTGAGACCAGCCTGGCCAACATGCTGAAACCCTATCTCTATTAAAAATACAAAAATAAGCCAGGCGTGGTGACGCACACCTGTAGTCCCAGCTACTCAGGAGGCTGAGTCAGGAGAATCACCTGAACCAAGGAGGCGGAAGTTGCAGTGAGCCGAGATTGTGCCACTGCACTCCAGCCTAAATGGCAGAGCGAGACCCCATCAAAAAAAAAAAAGTAGGCCTTTTTTATTATTGCACAGACTGTGCTACGGCCAAAATATTCAGCAAAACCATGCTCTAATTGGCCTCTGTGGCTAGTCCCTTGAACAAGCAAGAAATAAGAGGACCTGCTGTTAAGGGGATATAAAGACAAGATTAAACCCAAAGAAGAAGTCTCGGTCTCCAGGACAGCTTGGGAAAGAACTACGGCAGTGTCAATAAATCTCTAGCATTCGGCCTGAGGCATCATGTGTGGGGCTGAGCCTCAGAAGAGCTAGAGATGCTCCCCGTAAGCAGAGAACGGTGCTTTTGTTGCAAAACATGGTCTTTTAAAAAATCACTTTTACTATTATTTTCTGGTTATCTAAGTAGATAGCTTAAACAGCTAGAAGACAGAAAAAGCATAAAAAAGAAAATAAAAGCATTCAAATATTATACTCTAATGTTAATATCTTTACAGTCTTTTCCCTAAGTATTTGTATTTAACATAGTTTAAAATCACTACATATATCTTTATAAATCATGATGTATCATATACACAAAGAAATACACCCACACACATAGTCTGAAGTCTTGTTTTATTCCTTTAATATGCCATGAACATTTTCCCATCATTAAAAATTAGTCTGCAAAATATTCTATCTTAGGGTGTATCGTAGCCTACAGAACGGTTCTCCTACTTTTGGACTCCCTGCTCTTTTTCATGTTTAAAAAAAAAAGACTGCTGTAGAAAAAGGCCTGACAAACACCTTTGTGCTGAGTGTTTCTGCCTGCACTTATGACTGACTCTCAGGATCTGTTTCCAGAAGTGGCGCCACTGACTGGAGGGTGTGAGGTGCTTCAGGCTCAGAGGAATCTTCCAGAAGCTCATCCCTGAGCAGCACGGACAGGCCTGTCTCCCTCTCTGCACCACGGCCAATACTGGCAATGATCAGTTTTTAATCTCTGCAGTAATAGGCAAAATGCCACCTCACTGATGTTTTAATGTGCAGTTCTGAATTCCCCCTCGGGTTGAACATTTTTTCAGAAGCTTACTAACCATGTCTCTTTCTTCCCTTGTGAGTAACCTACCCGTGCAGTGAGAGCTTCTAATTTTCCACCCAGCAAAAAGCTCCTCTTACTTCCCCACCTCAGAGGCAGATTGAAGCAAACTAGTGCTCTCTTCAAACAAAAGGTCAGAATATTTCCTAAGTTTTGCTAAAAAGGCCAGCTTAAGTTCACTGCTTGGTAATCCAAAAGGAACTAATAACTTTCACCTCTCAGTTGAGTTTGACAATAGTCCCCTGTAGCAAGTTCTCTTCCTGTTGAACACAGAAGGGAGAAGCAGCCAGCAGGCAGCTCCCTGGGTCAGAGCACACACCGGATGCTGCGGCCACTGGAACTACATTTGTGTGATTATCTGGGGGTATCTTTCAAACAATTTCTGGTTGAGTAATCATCATACTCTATTACCCACCTCCAACCTTAACAAAACTGTAGCCAACTCTGCCCATAAAACAGAAAAGGGAAGAAAACAAAATGTAAGGAGCACGTGCTGTGTGCCAAGCCCAGCCCTGGGTGTTCTGTGTGCATGCTCATCTTTTTTAACTGACAGCCAGCCCAGGGAAGGCCGTGCTCTGCTTCATGTTACAGATGACAGGCTGCAGCTCTCAGTGTCCAAGCCATCTGGCCCGACACCACGGAGCTAGCAGGCCTCGCTCAGAGCCTGGGTCACAGACTCCGTCCTCTGTGTTTTGTCTTGAGTTTTACTCGGCTCTGCTTTGCTTGGGCAGGACACCTAATGAGAGATCATTTCTTGCTTATGCTGTTTGCAGAGCAGCATGGGACAGAGACCCTGGAACTGCAGACCCTGCCCCCAACAGGCCTCTGCTGCTTGTGTTAACGGCCAACCGCTTCCCACATTTATAATCACCCTCTCCTCTGCAGCCCTGGGATGGGCGACAAAGGCAGCATTCCTTTTCCTGCAGTGACAAAACTGGCCTATCAAGAAATTGAGTGACTCACCTAAGGTCAACCAGCTTCAAGTCCTATTGCCAGAATTCCGAGAGCCAAGGATGAATTCCCCAAACCACAGAGGAGCTCTACCTAATACCTCTATCCACCTCTAATACTTCTATCCACGTGGTCCCAGGCACAGCCCCTAAACCCGAGCCCCCTTCTCCTAGTTCCTCCCCACCAGGAAGTGACGGCAGCCCTGTGACTGTTAACCTGGCAAACTGCAAGAGGTTTTCCCACGGAGGAGTCCTCACACCTGAGGTCACCTCTGCCGGAAGACACCATTGTGTTGTGTGCAGCAGCTGCAAGGCCTGCATCATAGAAGGTGAGAGCCCCTGGCTGGCTGCCCTGGTAGGTGACCTTGCTCTATATTCAGTGGCAGCACTGCCAGAACTTTAAATGAGAGCCAAGGCCATTAGGTTTGAGGCTTGTCACTCGTGTGGAGAGTAGAGCTCCCGATGATGGTGGGTGGCTGGAGAGAGGTAGACAGGGTGTCTGCCCCACAGGGAGTGCCAGAGGGCATGTGGGGTGGTGGCACTTGGCTGAGAGGCTCACAGGGAGATGACCTGCAGGCAGGGACACCTGGGTGTTGGAAGGTAAGGAAGAAACCCAGGGCCACCAAGGGGCCCGAAGTTGAGACCACCTACTGCAGTCGTTGTCTTCCAGAGGGGAAGGGTGGAAGGTGCTGAGGTGTGGCTGGCAGTGGCCTGTCCATTATGGTGGGTACCGGGTGGCAGCACAGCGGGAGATGGCGGCAGGCTTCGGAGCCCACCACCTGGGCTGGATGCCCAGCTCGGCTTGGAGGTGACTTTGGGGCGAGGCCTGGCACTTCCCTGAGCATCTCTGCGGAATGCAGTCAGCGCTACCTGCACCTAACAGCTGGGAGGGTTTGCAAGTTCTTAGCACCAGCAGCAGGGTCTACCATCACCAGCCCACACTCCATGACCAGCTGAGTGCCTTGATGGCTCCGTAACGACTTTCTCAATGAGCAAGTTCCTTTTCATAACAACAACAAAGCAAGGACACCGTGATGCCACATTCATGCCACGGTCCTCACCACTTGGCCCCCGCAGCCTCAGAAGCCTGCCCACCTGCAGGTGTGGTTTGCATGCGGTGGCACATCCCTCCTCGCCCTGGGTTTAAGCTTAAACACACAGGTGAGGTCTTATGTTGGGGTGAGTGACACATCAGAGAATATTCATTTTCTGATGGAATATTCAATTTCCCATCAGAACGTATCCAAAAAGGATTCGGAACCATGGCTGATGCTCTGACAAGTCTCAGCAAAGTGGTGGGAAATCATTATCTTTGGAAACTGCGTGGAAAAGGTGAGTGAGGAAACCTGCGCAGAACTAACGGTGAGGTCACCTGCCTCGTCTGCAGCGGGTGTTGGCAGGAATGGCCTTTTGGGCGGCTCCCAGAGGGTGGCGGTGCCAGGCCTGGCCCAGGGGTCTGCCCAGTATGGTAACAGCCTTTGAGTGATGCCTTTTCGCTAGAGTGGGTTCTAATGTTATTATTTTGATTTTTTTTTTTTTTTTGAGACAGAGTCTTGCTTTGTTGGCCAGGCTGGAGGGCAGTGGTGCAATCTCCGCTCACTG